TCAGTGACAGTGCGATTGGCACAGGACAGAGCAGAGTTTAGGGCTGTATGAGTCGCAAGCGACTCGACGGCACATAACAACAACAACAACATTTTATTTTCAGAATTTTCTTGGTTTTCTCAGAAACCTGCCACTCAATTCATTCAGATTTCCTATCATGAAAATAATAATCTTACACATCTAAATTAAGAAAGACATACTTAAATGCTTGGAGTTTGGCAACGATATTCTTCTGTCAAAGAAAGAAAAGATGCCCAGTACAGTTCTGGAGGAAGCCTGCATGGGTAACACATCTGGTCCAGGCAGTCCCAGAAGGTCACTCCTGGGTGAGTGGGACACTGAGCAGTCACAGCATTTCCTCTGGGAGTTCCAGAGTCTTCCTCTCCCTCCTCAGGGTGGAAACACTCCTCTTGGAGGCCTCACTTCTCCCCACTATGAATCACTAAAGATGTGCGAGCCCTGAAGAGCTGACCCAAAGGAGCCCACCTCCAAGCCCGAGCCTACCACATGTTCTCATTCTGCACACATTACACAGGCCCACTCCCCAACAACGCATAACAACTACAACCTCTGAGAGGGCAAAGGCCCAAACACTGCCCTGTGGCCTCCCTCTCCTATGCCTCTCAGCATAAACAGTTCCTTCTGGACTATTCTGAAGGGGGGCTGCGGGGAGACATGCCTGCCTGCTGCCACCACCACAGACAGCTCATTGAGACAAAAGTCCTTTATCCCAGAGGGATATCTCCACGCTCAATGACAAAGCACAGCTGGGAAATTTTAAAGTCGTTTTTCTTCTCTGTCTTTACAAAAATATATGTACACACGTGTTCACCAACAGATGAAGGGATGCAGAAACTATGGTTGTTATTAGGTGCCATCGAGTCAAGTAAGATCACAGCGAGTCCGTGAACGACAGATCTGAACTTTGTCCTATCCTGTACCATCCTCACAAGGGGACATCAGTGTAGCTGAGTACTCCGCGACACTAACCCCACACCAATCTGCTTTAGGTGGACACGTCGAGGGACTGGAGCACTCTGGTGGCACAGCCCTCAGTGCTGCTCTGTTAACCAGCAGTGCAGGTCTGGTGGCTACAACGGACCAGCTGCAGCAAGGGAGAAAGATAGACATTCTCCTCCTGTGATCATTTTCAGCCAGAGAAACTTGAAGGAGGGTTGATAAGAATTGGAATCAGGGAGCTCTCATAGCCTAGTGGCAAAAAGCTGCACTGCAATCCCAGAGGTATGTGGTTTGAATCCACCAGATGCTCTACTAGAGAAGGAGGGTCAATCTCCTCCTGTACCAGTCAGATCGAATTTGACAGCACACACACACACACACACACACACACAGAGAGATAATAAAATAAAATAAATTTAAAAACAATTGGAATCAACTGGGTAACTGAGTGAGTGAAAGGACATTATGCTGAGCAAAAAATGTAAAAGCATCATTATGGTGTAAAACCACTATTATAAAAGCTACAAGAAGGTTTACACACAGCAGTGTTGTGGAGGGAGAGGGGAGTGAAAATCCATAGGTAAATTACAGAAAGGGAAGGCCATATACAATAATGGGTTGATTCTCTTCCTGTCTCTTGACTAGAGTGGAACCCAGTGGGCTTTCAGAGGTTGTAAATCACACTGACAGAGACTCCAACCACTGCCTTTACACCGGCAGGCCAATTAATTACCATAACCAATTGTAACTAATCTCATAAAATGCCTATGATTTAAAAGACCAACATGATTTGTAAACTTTCACTCCAATAAATAAAAAAACAACACTTCTAACACATTTGAGAACTTAACATTTTTTCACACACAGTTTTCCGGTATCAATTACAGTACTCTCTCTCCGCAACCCTCTCCAAATTCACTGCCTCCTTCTCCAGCACCATAAACAGAAACTCAATTCTTGCTGAACAATCAGGCCTCCTCCCCCAGCCCTGGGCCCGCCCCTGGTAAACCACTAACAGACTTGGGTCTTGTTAAGACTGGGCTTCTCCCTCCAGACTAGCTGGAGCCGCAGAGCCGCCTCCCCCCCATCCCCAGGGCTTTGAAATTCCTATCTCCTTTGATCTCCCTGGTATGCACAAACTTTTCTGCGGGTCTATTTTAATCCGCCTACAAATTTCAGGCGATCTCCTTTGGACATTAAAAAAGGACGCTGGGCGGACAAAGATCCGTTTACGTTTTCACCCAGAGTGCATGTATCCTGCTCGACGCTAAAAATAATGTCCAAAATGCACATAATCCGCTTTGTGTAGCCTTTTTCCCCCCCCCGCCGTCTTTGGTTTCCTATGAAAACTTCCAGCCTTTGTTCCGCTGGAGTTCCTGGGTTTTACTGCAAAAGTCTCTGCAGAG